TGATCTTACGGAACATACAGAAATAGTCTTAAAAACTATTTAATGCACATATCAAAATGTCAAAAACATTATTTAGTCAAAAAATCTAAGGAACGGCTGCAATCAACTCCCTGCCCCCCTCTTTTTCTAGCTACGCTTGACTGTCTGGATTTTTCATGTAATCTGGAAGTCGGCAATTCCCAAGCATGCCAGTTAGTATACTTTTATTGTGTAAAGGATGATTGTATGTAGAAACTTCCTGTTTTCAGAAATGTTCTTGTTTTGGTTTAAATTGCTTTTTCAGTATCTGTTAAGGGAAAACTATCATGTTATGAAAATTTGGAAAATGTTCAGAATTTTTATTCAAGTTATTTAAATATTCATAAGAATGGGAAAATAAATAAATGTGCAATAAATTCTGTTTATTTCTAGGTGCCAAGCATTAAAAATTTCTGAAAGGGAAAAATACACCTGTTTGGTGGAATAACAAGCTTTATCCCTAACACCAATCCTCTTAGTGCTGCACCTTTCAGTTCCCCAAGTGTTATTTTTGCTTTGTGGAATTCACTTACTTTAGATGATGCTATAAGAGCTTCAAAAGGTTTTGGATGAAATTTTGTTGTGTTTCAATGTGGTTACCAGTCATTACTCTTATAGATCTAGCAGTGACATGGACAAACTATTTTCAAGCATGTTCGTTGATATTGTGGTAGCAACACACTTTTTTTGTTACAAGACAAAACATGCTTGCCTCTGCCATTTTGGATTAACACCTAATTTTCAGAATCGCATGTGTGACATATCTAAGAAGCATCCCACTTTACTGTGCTATTGACAAGATTTTGAATAAAACCAATAAAAAACAATCATTAGATTTGAATATCAGATATTGGCAATCTGACCAAAATAAAGTTGTAACTCAATTTTTTATGTTTGTTTTTATGGGACATGCAACAGCTGCTAATATTTTTGAAAGTTTTCAAATGGCAGTTAAAAAACAAGGTATAAAAAAACTGCAATAAATAAGTATGGAAGGGCCAGCCATAACTTGGAAGATTTATGAAAATCTTCAAAATGAATTGTAAAATTAATATGCAATTTAATGTATATTTATTGGTAGTTGCGGCTTACATATTTTGAACAGTGCTTTCCGTAAAGGAGCATTCACTACAGGTTGGGATACCTTCTATTTTAGGAGCATTGTACTATCTATGCAGAGATTCTCCAGCGTGTCGAGAAGATTCTTTTAACAGAGAGTGTGCATAAGACTTTGTCATTGAAATTTTGTAACCGAAGGTGGCAAGAGAGTGCACCAGTATGTTTCTGTGCATTTGAAATTAGGGAAGATACAAAAGGTTATCTCAAGCTAGTTGAAAATGGAAAATATGCAAAAATAACTTACAAATCATATGAAATAATAAGAGATGCAATTAAAGACAAATTAATGCCTGTAAAATTCCCCTTTTTTTCATTTGTGTAGCTGGATTGGTCAGAACTTTTTGAAACTGTACCAAAGTGATGAATCACTTATTTATTTATTTATTTTTTTGCTTTTGATTTACACAAATTAGTAAAACAACTTTCACAGCATTTTAAAATGATAAAAGTAGAGTACATGCTAAAAATTAGTTTATCACTAAAATATTTGGTAACTTTGATTTTTCTGGGTATTGTTACTGAATTAAGCAAAATTATGATTTAGGCTGACAAACTCTTGCAAGAACTATTAAAAAGAAATCATGGATAAAGATTACCTTTCTCTTAAATGCAACTCACAAACTTTTATTTTACAGCTAATTGAAAAGGAAAAATGCCAACTTAATTATTCATTAATTCGAAATGGATTCAATGGATCCAATGTATACAGTACAAAAGATAACAGGAAAATGAAAAGTATGTTGATGCATTTTTCCCAAAAAGGTCACATTGCAGAAGAAGAATGCGATAATATTCTTCTGGAATATTCCGATTTTATTGAAAATGTTGTCCAGCCATACATTACAGAATTTAAAACCTGTGATATGAAAAGATGAGATTAGATACATTTTTGCATACATTCCACATACCCATAACTAAAACTACTTCAAGTTATGGGAAACATATAAAATGACTTTTATTCTTTCTCATGGGCAAACCTCTATTGAAAGAAGATTTAATATAAATAAAAATATAGAAACAGAAAGTATTTGGGAAAATTTATACATTGCCCAGTGCATAGTTTATGATTGTGTGAAACATACTGTGAGATCCACAATGTATCAATTGCAGAAGAGATGAGAGTGGCAGCTTCAGCTCATTCACAGTATCAGTTATATTTGGAAGAGCAGGAAAATTAAAAAATATTCAAGATAAAGCAGAATCAGCAGATGAATTGATTTCCTTTAAAGAAACTCTCTTTGAAGGAGAAAGTGCTTGAAAATAAACAAATAAACTTGCTGAAATGGCTGAAGTGACAAAAGACTTTTAAATAAATCTAATGAAGTATTAAAAAACTGTGGAAAAACTCATTAAGAGAACTGGATTCAAACATTAATGAGGAGAAACAAAAACGAAACAAAAGTTTTATTATTCATTAATAACCAAATCTTTTTTTTCTTGTTTCTTTTTTAGAAAATGCTTGTGTAAATATAATAAATATGGTTTATTATTATTTATTTCCTATATTTTTAACTGAAATTTCATCATTAAATCTCGTAATATAGTTTAATTTTGTATTGTTTTTTTCCACCCTCATTGTAAACTAGTTCTGTAAATTGAACTGTTATTTAAAATTAAAAAGCAATTGTTTTCCGGGGTTGAGTAGTGTTAACTGAATTTCTCATATTTTACATTTTCCTTTTAAGATTATGAAGTTGTGGGACAAAAGGATATATGTAATTAAACAGGTGCTTATTCTTTTTCTTAAAATATGCTTGGAAAGCGCTTATTTTTTTTAACTAAAATGTGGCTATTAACCCTGACAGTTATTCTCCTAATTAAACATCGGTTTCAAAAAATGTTCTTCATAGTATTATGGTATATGATATCATGCTGATGATCAATTATAATTTGTAGCAACATTCTGACCCTAGATAGATGTATACTTATGTGTGTCTGCTCTAGCAGCTTGAAAAAGTGGGGTGAAAATGGTAGATATACACTGGTTATCATAAATTAAGAAAAAATCACAAAAATAGCGATAACTCCCTCAAAAATAAGCCAAACCGTGTAAAATTTGAATATGTTACCAAGTAAGAGTAGCTGAGTAAAACTGCAATATGCAAATTAGTGGCAGTGCATTCTGAATACGTCATCTGCGAGGAACATAAAAGCCCATGTTTGAGAGCAAGCCCACATACATGTATTTCACAGTGATAGTGACATCAGAAATCTGAGATAACCAATTCGTTACAATGACCTCCAGACATCATTTGCCTGCAGAACTACGACAGAAAGCCATTGGGAGATTAGAGGCAGGACAAAGTCAAACAGAAGTGGCCAGATTTCTAAATGCGAGTCCTTCTGTGGTTCATAGACTTTGGAGGCAATTTCACACCACAGATTCGGCATCTAGGATGTTCAGCCAAGGACGGCCAACTGCTACGACGAGCGCCAATGACCGATATTTGACATTATGTGCACTCAGGAATAGAACTGCTACTCCGATTCTTCTTAGATCCTCCCTTGCTGTAGCCACCGGAAGGTTCGTGTCAACATCAACTGTGCGTAGAAGGCTTCACGAAGGTGGTCTGTATGTGAGGCGACCAGCAATTTGCGTGCCTTTCACGTCACGCTATAGGAGGGAGCGTTTGCAGTGGGCATGTCCACTGGACGCTTAATCTATGGAGGGCTGTTCTCTTTACGGATAAGTCCAGGTTTAGTCTAGAAAGCGATAGTAAGCAATATTTGATATGGAGAGAACCTGGAACTCGTTATCATCCGTCAAACAATCGTGAAAGAGATGCATACGGAAGAGGCAGTGTCTGTGTTTGGAGTGGCGTCTCTTTGGGTAGACGCTCAGACCTCCATGTCTTTCTAAGGGAAACCGTGAATGCTCAGGTTTATAGAGATGACATCCTTGATGTTTATGTGTTCCCATATGCTGTTGCAATAGGTGATGCTTTCCTGTCATAGGACGACAATGCAAAACCACACAGAGCCTGCATCATAGATGATTATCTTCAACAGGAAACAGTTATGCGCATAGAGTGGCCTGCTTGATCCCCTGACTGGAATCGTATCGAGCACGTTTGGGATGCTTTAGGGAGACGTCTAGCTCCTTTCAATCCACCCCCTCAGACCCTTGCTGCTCTTGCAATTGTTTTGGAAGAGCAATGGCTCTCTCTTCCTATGTAATTGATAGACCGCATAATTGAAAGCATCACACATCGCTCTATGTGCTGTATTGCTTCTAGAGGCGATCATATGCCATATTGAAGGTACTTTTCCTATAGCAACTGACACCTTCGATTTGTTCATTTTATACATGTGCTAATTTTTATACTACCATATTTGTCTGGTAATTTCTTTTTATGTTATTTGATACTTTACTATGTGTTGTATATTGTGGGTAAGTTTCATTAAATTCTACATGTAACTTTTTCAGTAATCGTGATTTTTGTCATTTTTCTTTTTTTATGATAACCAATGTATATATTGGCTGCAAGAGGAAAAAGTGAGAATAAACTAAAAAAACGCATATTATTTCCATCAATATTTGAATTGTCCACTAGAACAGTTGCTCACTCTGAATCATTCTTATTCACATATTCTAATTCCTTTTAGGTTAATCTTGTTTTACACATAATTATTGTGGGAGCTGCCCAGACGGTGTAGTGGTTAGGGGAGCCTGACTGTGATACCCCGAATGGCCAGGGTTCAAATCCCGGAGAAGGCTTGGATGTAAAAATTGTCTGTCCCTTTATAGGAAGCAATGGTGGCCCACCTATTATGTACCTTCATAATAGGTGGGCCACCATTGCTTCATAATAAAGAGACCACCGACTAGCTTTAGGAGTGGACAATGCCGGCATAGGCAAGTGCCCGCCATTAGAAAAAAAAGTTATTGTGGTTATTCACTGGCAAATTATTTGAAACTAAATGATTCTTTTGTCATATGAAACAGTATCTGACAATCCAAGTGCACGAAAACATTGTGCACTCATTAGCAGTATGAAATTAGTGGTACGAGGTAACACGTATTATGCATCAATGTGCATGTAACCTATTGTCATCAACATGTTATATTTGCTCCCTTCATAAATGCTTTAAAACACATTGTAATGCTTAATGAAGATTATTATTTATAATTTTTGGAAGTTAAATATTTTACTTATTTGTACCAGAAGAGGCTTTTTCATGCAACTTTAGGCCCACCAGCAGCCGAGCGGTAAAATCACTGAACACTGGTAGTTTGGTCCAGGGTTCGAATCCCGCGAACGGGCTGGCTGCATGGGTGTTTTCGCGGTTTTCCCCATGTGTAATGTGTATACGAGCCAGTTTTCCTTAGAAAGTCCTCCACGAAGGCATCCCTCCCCTTAGGCAGATAGCCCTAGTGTGCTTTGCCATAATTAAATACACCACACCAACACCACACCATCATGCAACTTTAGATAACAGATTATTCCATATACTAGATAGGTTATGGTCCCAAGATTTGGTCAACTGTTTCTTGTTGATTTATTAATGACAATTCATTAATAGAAGGATTTTGTTTCAGGGAATTATTCCTTAGCTCGAGTTCTGCCTCAAATATATGTTGTCAATAAAGAACCTATTCATGATCATGTGATGGCTCTTGTGTCATTATTACCTCAGTGTGAGAATTCTGAAAAGCTTAGCTTGTTAAACCTCTTTGGATTAATTGCTAAATACAAGCCTTCGGTAAGTGTCATAAAATATAAATACAGCAATTAAGAATTTTACTTTTCAATAAATTTTTAAATTTTCACAAAAGTATTATAATTTTTTATGGAATTTTCTTTAGCATGCACTGAGATTTTTTAATACATTTTATTATGTATTTCTTATATTTGCAGCACTTATAAACAAAAAGTAATATATGTTTTAAATATTTTTAATAATATATTAAAACTAAAAATTGATTTTCTTCAGGATGGATTTCATGTGTGATATTGACATTGTACTAATAAATATTATTTCTTGTATATATGCCTTTTGTTGTGATAAATATGCATAATTTAATCTATATTATTTTGCCTTATGTTTGGTATGCATGCTTTATGTATTATGAGTATAATTAGCTTTTGTTTGGTGTAAGAAGTTTCAAGTTTTTATAATCATGCAAAGTTTCTTAACATCTGTTGTAGAACTAAACCTCTGAGATAGAAAGAGAACTCTGAGATAACTGGCACCATCTGTATATGGATAATTATTATAATAGTGTTGATAACACTCAAGCCCTTTTGTGAAAAAAAAATTAGGGTATGTAGAACCATTAGAAAAAATAGAAGTTTATCAGAGTGTCTAAAAAAGACAAATCTCAGAAAAGGACACACAATCTGTCGTCATAAAGGGGATAGTTTACGTCAAATCTGGCCATCAAAGAAAGAAGTGGGCCTTATGTCGTCTATACATTTGGCGGAAATGAAAGAGAGTCACAATATTGACAGAACAACACGCCAAAAAATAACTAAAGCAAATGCATTGATTGAGTATAACAATTTTATGAAAGGCGTCGACCATTTAGATCCGTATTTGTCTTACTATTCAATACTACAAAAGGGACAAAACGAGTAACAATGTACATGATAAATTGTGCATTGTTAAATTCCTGTGTCGTCTGTTATTCAATAAAGTAAAATATCTGAAATTTTTATATAAAGTAGCTTTGCATTGGGTTACTGATTTGGTATGAACCGAAGATAACAATCAAGAGCCAGGACTATCCACTTTCAGGAAAAGGCCACCGAAATAAGATCCACCAGGAGGATTGTTGATGGATATGAAAAAGCACATTCTAGAAAAAAATTGTTGGAACCGGAAAGAAAAAATTTGTGCAAAGATAATGTCGAGTGTGTGGATCTCAAAAAGTGCGAAGTGAAACTTGTGTTTATATGTAAATTTTGTGGCATACCTCTTCATAGAGATAAATGTTTTGAGCACTATCACACTATAAAGCATTATTAGTGTTATTTACTCCATTAAGTTATTTGTTTAATGAAACATTTTGGTAATAAATAACATTGACGAAAATTATAAATTTTTCCTTTTTTTGTACTTTCAACTCTATATTTTATATTCATTTATGCAAAAAGTGCTTATCTTTCATAATAACGATGAAGAATATATTCTAAATTGAGAAAATCAGTTTCATAAAGAAAATTCAAAGTAGTTTTCAATTTATAGTGATTTTACGTAATGACAAAATTTGTGAGGATTTTTCAAAAAATCGCCCGCTCCCACCATAACGCACTGACGCGAAGCGCCCAACAACAATGTGTTAAAGAGGGACTCTCATCATTTTATGTAGTATAGGTGTATAGTATAAGAATAGAAGCACCACGAAGAAATCGGTGAAACGGAATGGAATTTATGGGGATTATTAATGGAATGGAATATAAAGCAGGGTCTGATAAGCATATAAGTAAAGGGTTGTTGAGGAGCCACATGAGTATTGTATTTTCATCACTGTATTAGAAATGGTCCAGTAGGAACTGCTAAACCTTATCAACATCAGCAAAGAAATATCTTTCAATGGAAGATATTTCTTTGCTCATGTTGATAAGATTTAGCGGTTCCTATATTAATTTAAAATAAATATCTTTTAATGGAAGCAAATGGTGTAAGCATATAATATGAAAAAATAATGAATGACCAGCTAAATACTGAGGCAATGACTTTCATCTATATTGCTCATCACACAAATGGCCTGACATGGCCTTTTAAGGAGAGATTCTCATCATTTTAATGTAGTATAGATGTATAGTATAAAAACAGAAGCACCATGAAGAAATCAGTGAAATAGAATGGAATTTATGAAGGAATATAAAGCAGGGTCTGATTAGCTTATCAGTAAAGGGTTGATGAGGAACCACATGAGTATTGTATTTTCATCATTGTATTAGATATGGTCTAGTAGAAACTCCTAAACCTTATCAATATCAGCAAAGTAAACTCCAGGGTTCTAATGGCGATAAATTAGCTGGATGTACAAAAGAGAATTTTTGTACTGTGATACTGCCATTTGTAGGAGACATTCCATCACAGTGATACTGGTATGAAGACATGCCATGACAGTGGATTTAAGAAAACCAAGAGTTGAAATTCCAGCAATGGATTATGAAATATAACACAATGGAATGATAAATATTGTACCCAGATGGCAATAATGAACCTTGCAGCTACATCTTGAGTTTTAGCGCTTTGCTGCAAATATGGCATTGTCTGCTTCCACAGTTCAGCAGCATTTGCTATAGTTCTTGTATTTTAGAGCATCATACTGATGAATGACAGGCATGGTGGTCTGGAGTGCCATTGATTATCAAAGGTTATCCAGCTGCTATGAATCATGTTTCTTTGCAGCAATGTCATATATATTTTTTCTGTATGAAAATAAGATCATTCAGCCTCTGTTAAACATCATTTAATCTGCATTATTAGATACGTTTCTATATTACAGTTACTTGTTTTACATTGCAGAGAGATACGTGAGAATTCCCTTTTTAATGGGAATAAAAAGGCCCATGCATACTCCTTTTAAAAATTAGATGATTTTAGTAGTCCTACTCAACTGAGTAACATAGTCATGCCCATTTTAAGAATTTGTTGATTTAAGGTATTTGAAGCTGCATCACTTCTGTTAAGTGCTGAATTTATAAGCACCTCAGAAGTATTCCTAGTATTCTCAAATTCATTAACATCTTCAACTTAACTGCTTTCATTCTAATAGCTGTTTTTACTGTGGAATCTTGACAATTTTTTCCTTTTAGAAGCAAATGTCTAAAGAAGTGTGTCTTGCATATTTTCCAAAATTGTGTAATTTTAGAAAAAGTCTCTTTTAGTCCTGTTTATTATTCATTGTGAACAGAAAACTATATGGATAATATAGAGGTATTGAGAGAAGAAAATTTATTGCTGTAGATGTGTGTATCAGGTTTAGTCCTGATACACAGGCAAAGGTGAAAGTTTATTAATTGGTCTTTTGAAGACACCAGTTTTAGTTTTGACTGTAGCTACGCGAACTAAGCCGTCCTTGCCCGGATGGACATCGATGATCCGTCCTATAGGCCAAGCTAAAGGTGGAGATCCATCTTCAATGACAAGAACCACCGTGTCGACCTTCAAGTTGGGTTTGGTGTGCTGCCACTTGGATCTCTGCTGAAGAGAAGTCAAGTATTCCCTTTTCCAGCGATTCCAAAATCCCATCGTAGATTCTGTACAAGTTCCCACCTAGAACTCCTTGTGCGAACAGACTGATGTGTCTCTGGAAAGGAAGTCAAAGTATCACCTGTAATAAAATGAGAAGGGGTTAAAACATTAATAGAGTCAATATCAGAATCGTTCACGTAAGTAAGTGGACGTGAATTCAAAATAGCCTCGATCTGGTAAGTAGCGTTGACAACTCTTCGTAGGTTAAAAGAGTCTCTTTCAATACTCTTCTCAGATGAAATTTCGCTGAGCGAATGCCGGCTTCCCATATTCCTCCGAAGTGGGGCGAAGCAGGCGGTATAAAATGCCATTCAATAGATGACTTAGTTAGTTCTCGGGAAACCGATTCCTGTTGCATACAAGGAAGACCAAATCTGATTTAGTTCTTGTAGTTTTCGGCATGCTCCCACAAAATTGGTACCGTTGTCACTGTAAATGTGCCGTGGTGCACCGCGACGTGAAATGAAACGTCTAAGTGCAGCGATAAACGAGTCTGCCGTCAGGTCACTGACTGCTTCTATATGCACAGCTTTAGTCGACAAGCAAACAAACAGAGCTATATAGCCTTTCGTTGTTTTAGAACCACGACCCTTATTAAATTTCATGGTAATAGGACCAGCGTAATCCACACCAGATGCGTAAAAAGGTCGTTCCAAAGTCACACGATGTTCAGGTAAGTCACCCATCAATTGCGGATTTGAAGCAGCTTTAAATCGATGACATATTAAGCAATGGTTGACACAACTGCGTATCAGTTTTTTTTCCTCCAATTATCCAGTAAGATTGTCTGATGAGGTGTGATAATAAAGAAGGACCAGCATGAAGGTAAGTAATATGAAGTTCTTTCACTAGTAATTCGCTAAATTTATGTCGAGAAGGAAGTATGACAGGATGTTTGATGTTAAATGCTAAAGATGAATTTCGAAGACGTCCTCCCACCCGTAAGAGACCATCTTTATCTACGAATGGATACAAAGAACGTAGTTGGCTCTTCTTGGGTAAAGGTTTATCTCCCTTAATACATTGCAAATCATCTTCGAAATAATGATCCTGAATCCAACGAATAATGAAATTTTCTGCTACTCGAATCTCTAGAAATGTTAGCGGCATAAGGCAGCTGGAGTTAATGCCACTACGTGAAATGTTCTGAGTAACATGATGCTTCTTGCAATTAGTAATAAATCTTTGGCAGTAAGCCAGAATACGAACAATTTTACAACGCGAAGAATAATGCTCGAACAAATTAGCTAATAAATCATTCGATTCACGTATATGAGAAATAAAAATAGGATCAGATCTTTGTTCGGCCTTTACTTCAGTATCATCTTCAGATTTTAATTCATATTTAGGCCATTTTTCCTCTTCCTGACGCAACCATGGTGGACCATTCCACCACAAAGTACAATTTGGTAGGAGTTGAGGTTCAATACCACGAGAAGCAATGTCTGCAGGATTCTGTTTAGAGGGAACATGATTCCAATGTTTAATAGGTA